TTGCACAGAGAGTGACTTTACAACATCTTGGAGAAGAACAGTTGGAGGCAATAACCATTTCCCTGCCTAGAAGATCCAGCTGCTCTGAAGATGTGCAGCTGATGTTCTGTAGGGATTAGTCCTTCTTCCAGTAGTGTAGATTTAAACAAACCTGATTCATTGGTTTGGTTTGGAACTAAAGCAAAATCATGTGCATCCCTTAAAAATGGAATTTGGCACACATGAAGAGAGCAACTTCATTCTTCTCAAGTGCAAACGACTAATACAATTCTATGCAGAGAATTTTTATGGGAAATCTGATTCTGAAACGCATCCATTAGTGATAATAAATATTACTTTAATCCATCCAATCCAGAATGTCAAGAGCTTGATTCATTTTTTCTCTGAAAATGTAACCAAGAGAGTGGTCATCCAAAGTACTCACAAATCTCAATGTTTTTATAACGTCTGATTACAGTTTGCAATAGGTGCTGGTTTTAAAGGATGCTTAATAAATGTGTTTAAGTCCTAATTAATTATCTGGAAACTTGTAGGCAAGGTGAACAACTTGAAGCTTGTGACGATTGTTTGTTCAGTTGTATTATTATAAACCTAAAACCAATTTCTTGACTTCATTGGAACCATTTTGGTGCCTAGAAGTTCAGAGGTTGGTTCCTTGCCTCAGCAGAAACCTTTTTTGGAGTCTGCAGCTAGAATCAATGGCAGCAATGCTGAGAATGGCTTTGGAAACAGCAGGACACAATGTCTTCCAATACATTTCCCACCTTTATTAAATGAATTATTTATCTTTTCACCTTCTTATCTGAAGTCTAATGTGTATAACTGTGGTGTTACATTAACAGGGAGAGACAGAATGTCACGATAAAGAAAATAAGAAAGACATTTTAGAAATGGAAAGAAAGTTAACTGCAGATGACATTGGGGAATTTTTAGATAGCCAAGGAGAGATAATTTTTGATTTAGTAGACTTTCTGTCAGACAAAGACAAGATTATTAAGCTCAATCATCCTACTGCAGTTGTTTAGTAAATTGAATTTCTTGCCTTGTTTGCTACTCATTGACTTAGTGAATCTCAACAAGACTTGCCAGAGGGTTTTAGAAAAGCAGAGATGGGCCCTTGAGAAGTAAGATGTACATGTGAGATAGGTTACAAATAACAACAGTGGCAGTATGTTATGTCTGTACATGGGGAATTTGTTCTGGTTTATTCTCTTGTAGACTTTGTGGCTTAGGTAATGTATTAGCTACTTATTCTGGGAGATTTAGGTGCAAATTAATTGAAGTAACAAGCAAAAGTATCTGATGTTTTAGCTTAGATGATGGATCACATGAAAGCTGCACTTTGGGTAATACTTGCAATCCCTTCCTCATAGCTGGTGGATGGTTTCACAGTGCCAGCCAACACTGGAGTGCTAGGATGGGACTTCACTACCTCACAGGATGACCTCCTCCATAACTTCATTTCATCCCTGGCCTTGTGCAGCTCCTTGAACTTCAGTATATCATTGGGGGAAATGCCTACCCTTGACATGAAGCCCTCAGGAAAGGGATGTGGCTTTAGGGGCCTTGCTCCTGTAAGAAATGCTCTTATTGCTCCATTTATTCAAATTATCCAAATGCTCTGTTTGAATGTTGTTTTATTTCCCATCTGGATTTTGTATACTTTGACTCTCAGTTGCCCTGCCTAGTTAAGTGACTTTGGAAAGACTAAAGAGCCTCATTTCTCAGGTTATTTCTCTTTATATGTCTCTGCAAATCACAATCTGTACATCTCTTAACCTTCTCTTCAATAAATTAATTAAGCTGACCACTTGCCTGTTACTGTGTGATGGTGGCACGTACATTGGTTAAATAATTTTATTTATCTTCTCACTCAGCACATGATGCACATGATCTCATGCTAAACTCATACCCCTGAAGTGCACCCTAGAAAGTAGAATTCTATGTACTGATCCTCCATTTCTAGAGATTTTTGTAATCTGCTCCCCAGTGGGATATTAAATAGTTTATTAAGCAATAAATAGATTTATAGAATGCTAATGCTTAAGCTCAAACATCCATCAGCATTAACACATCCTGGCCAAACTAATGCTCTGCTGGCTTGTATTCATTTTATGCAGAACTATTCAGTAGCACTGGCTTTGCATGAGCTCCCCACCAGCCTAAAATAACTTGCAAAGAAATGAGCAAAACACTCTTTGCTTGCAGACCACACTATTAAGTATTGATGAAGAACATTGTTGTTGTTGTTATGTGCAATAATGGAACATTTTAGTACTTAAAAAGTAACCCAAATTATCAGAAAACTCCATAATCTTTTTCAAAATAATGTTTTTCATGTCATGGGTTTTTTTTCAGTCACGTTGGTCACTGAATGGACTTTTTGTCCAAATACATCTTTGAAACCAGCCCTGCATCTTCTAGTGCATCAATATTTCAGGCAGATTTCCTTTGTTTCTTGGACTGTCCTTTAAACCATTTTTCTCTTTCCTTGGAAAGTACCAGAGGGATAAACTTTATCATCTTTTAATGAGCAGTATTATCTTGATAGCATCTTCTCCCCTCTAGTGTCCCAGGCTCTTTCTCTGCCCTCTGCCCTTTGCTAGAGGGGTATCAGGACCCACAGTTTATTTTCCATTTCATCTCCAGTATCCTGGAAGTTGATGGCAATCTTCAAAGAGGCTTCTGTAGTCTGGTGGCAGTCAAAAGACAAATCCTGGTGATGTCCAGTTTGTCTTGGATTGCAGGATTTTGGGAGGAGCCAGCTTCAGAAACTCCAGCTTGGTCATCCACCCAAGTTCATACACAAGACCAGGCAAGCTCAACATTGATGTGTTTTGTTACAGCAAAGGGAGAAGTTCTTTTGTAGAATGCAAAACTGGGAGCAGGGCTATGAAAGACAGAAACTGCAGTTGGAGTTGCACAAGTGGACCTCCAGATCATTTGTGGTGCTAAAGCTCCTTTCCAAAGCAGTGTGGGCAGCAGGTTGAGGGAGATGATTCTGTCCTTCTACTCTGCTCTGCTGAGACCCCACCTGGAGTCCTTTGTCCAGCTCTGGGGCTCTCAGAGATGTGGACCTGTTGGATGGGGACCAGAGGAGGCCTCAAAGATGATCCATGGTCTGGAAGCCCTCTCCTAGGAGGCCAGGCTGAGAGAGTTGGGCTTGTTCAGCCTGCAGGAGAGAAGGCTCTGGGGAGACCTTCTTGTAGACTTACATTATCTGAAGGGGGCCTACAAGAAAGCTGGGGAGGGACTTTTTCCAAGGGCTTGTAGTGGTAGATGAGAGGTAATGGGTTGAAGTGCTGGTGTTTAAACCCCCAGCCCTGAATCAGGGTTGACCTGTAGATGATGTCCACAACCAGGCAGGAGAGACCTTCCTGATGGATTTTCACCCAGGGCCTGAATGGCCTTGGGTGGGAACCAGTTAGGAGATCACCACCAGGTGCCCCTCCCTTGGCATCAACATCAGGTGTCCCACCTCTAAGGTAACAGCATAAAGGCTGGCTCTGCCCACTGGGGTTTTTGGGGTGAGCTTAGTGGTGTGGTGGGTACACTATGTAGGGTTTCCAGTTACTGGAAGTGGCCTCTCAACTGCCAGTTGTGGGCAGAGCTCCCAGTGGTGGTGGGACATCAGTATGGCTGGGAGCAGAGGAAGACATACATCTGAAATATTGGCACTGGTTTATGGTCATGGTTTTATGGTTGGTTTGCTCCTGTCTTCACTGTGAGTGAACATATCAACCTTTTTATTCCTCTGGTGGTTGGGACCCTTGGATACTTCATGTGTGATGTGGAATTGGAGGGAGGGATGTGGCCTGGGTGCTGCTTATTGATAACAATACCATTCCTCTCAGGGGGTGTGGTCAGCAGAAGAATGGGCTCAAACTTGAAGAGGGGAGATTTAGGTGAGGTGTAAGAAGCTCTTCACTCTAAGGGTGGTGAGACACTGGCCCAGGTTGCCCAAGGAAGCTGTGGATGCTCCATCCCTGGAGGTGTTCCCGCCCAGGTTTGCTGGTGCTTTGAGCAACCTGGTCTGGTGGGAGATGTCCCTGCCCATGGCAAGGGGGTTGGACCTAGATGATCTTTAAGGTCCTTTCAACCCAAAGCAATCTGTGATTTTGTGATAATCCTTGTATCAAAATTACTCATATATGGTGTGATTTTGGGGAGTTCCTGAGTATATATAACTAGAGTTTTTCTCATACTGTTACATGTAAAGAGTGCTATAAGCTCATGCCATCCATATTTGCCACATGTAGGTTGAAAATGGAATTTAGAGGTTGTTACATAGATACCTTTGGTTTCCACTTCTCCCAAAGTCAATAAAATTGTGAAGAAGCTTCTGTTCCTAAACATTATTCACTCTGTAACTCTACTAACAGCCAGACTTTCTCCAAACCTTCTCCATAGTGTATTTATCTATCTGAGTCCTTTTTGGAGCTCAGGTCTGAGAGCTTCATAAGAACCATCCCTTCTCTCCATGGCTGCTGGTGGTGGGAATTGGTAACTTATGAGTCCTTTAGCAAGGTCATTGCTTTGTGAATAGAAGACAACAGCAGGTTATATCTGAGGGTATTTTTCCCCCATTAAGGTCACTCCTCCAGCACAAGAAAATTTGTCACTTGATAAAATCAACTTTCTTCTGTAGCCATTTGCATGGTTCAGAATTAGCATTTTAAGAGTATGTTGACTACAGTAAATTCAGCTTGATTATTTAAGGTTTTATGTCTTTATTTGACTACTGTGTGATGCACCAAAATGTAAAAGCTCCTCTTTCATTTGCTCCCATGTCATTTAAAAGGAGGTCTCAGGCTTGAATCACTTCAGAACTACTTAACCAAAGAAAGACTTCCTAAAAACACCTGCTGAGAATGCACAGAAGAGACTGTGCTAATCCAGGGGTATGGAAGGAGCTGAATCCAGGTGTGTTGAAGGTTTGCCTGCAGCCCAGGCAGGCAGGGGGGATGATCCTCAGGGTGTGCTGTGGTTTCTCTCCCCAGGGATGCGCCAGGGCAACGACGTTGGGACCCAGTATCGCTCGGCCATCTACACCTTTTCTCAGGAGCAGATGGAAGCTGCCTTGAGATCCAAGGAGGAATATCAAAAGGTAACCCTGGGCAGGGTGTGGAGTTGAGCAGAGGTCAAAGATGGCACCAGTTAGCACAAAATCACTTTTGGTTCTGTGCATTGTCTGTGTTGCTGGTGGAGCTCCTCATTCCAGCAGTGAACTTGCACCATGTTTGCTTCAAGTTCCAAGTTTGCTGAAATGATTTTTTTGTGTGTGAGTCATTTTATAACCGTGCAGAAAGAAAAACAGTTACGTATGCAGAGATAGTTTTAATCTTTTCGACAGATTTTTTTGTGGGGGAGTGTCAGAGCACAAATTGGAGATGTTAAAGGTGTTCAAGCATATCTGGACCCCAGACTCTGAAGGGTGGTAGCCAGAATCTCAGACCTAGAAGTTCTTGACCACTGGGGTTAAGTCCTGATCAATATTTGACCTTGGTAACTCAAGATCACCCACCTCTTCTTTACAAGATGCTTTTATGAAGCCATTCCATGAATGTCTTTGATTAGATGTGACAGCCTGTGGCTTATTAAGAACATTTGTTTTGACATGAGGATTTCTGTGAGAGATGGACCATTTCCCTTTCTGTACCCAGGCCTGCCTTCAATGAAGATGGATTCTGTCTCTTCCTTGCCACATAGGCTATTATTTAACCAAAGGCAGAGGGATTAGTGTCCTGTAGTGCTGCTGCATTATCATTGCTGTGTGGTCTGCCTCGTGGTCTTGGGGATGCAAGATGCAGATTCTAGAACAAAGATATATCAATTCTTATAACTTAGGAGATGAATTACTCACCTAGAACATGAGGGCAATAGGATAAACATTAGCTGTTAAGGAACCTCAGCTTTCATCCCCTCACTTACACTATGGCTTCATGCACGTGCCCTCTAGGGCTGGTTTCTACATGTGGTTGGTGTTGTTTTGCATGCTCAGAGATGCTCTGAACTGCAAGGGACTGATTTGCAAGTTGTTTCTAGCAGTGTGAAAACTGTGCATGTAAATTAAGGGTTCAGGGACATGTTTTCTCATGACTAGTCAAACACTTGGGGATAACTCAGTCTTGCAGGTGTTTGTCTGTGCTAACAAAGCAGCTTCTGCAGGTTCAGTATTCATGTGTGCCACAGAATCCCAGCATGGTGGGGTTGGAAGGGACCTCTGGGGATCACCTCATCCAACCCCCTGCTCCAGCAGGGTGCCCAGGATGGTGTCCAAAGGGTTTGGAATCTCTCCAGAGCAGGAGACTCCACAGCCTCTCTGGGCAGCCTGGGCCAGGCTCTGCCACCCTCCCAGCAGAGAAGTTTCTCCTCCTGCTCAGGTGGCACCTCCTGGGTTCCAGTTGGTGCCCGTTGCCCCTTGTCCTGTCCCTGGCACCACTGAGCAGAGTCTGGCCCCAGCCTCTTGCCCCCCGGGGCCCTTTAGCTCTTGCTCAGCACTGCTCAGATCCCCTCTGAGGCTTCTCTGCTCCAGCTCAGCAGCCCCAGGGCTCTCAGCCTGGCCTGGCACAGAGATGCTCCAGCCCCTCAGCATCTCCACAGCCTCCTCTGGACTCTCTCCAGTGGTTCCTTGTCTCTGGAACTGGGGAGCCAGAACAGGACCAAACAGTCCAGATGTGGCCTCCCTAGGGCAGGGTTGGAGGAGAACCTCCCTCGACCTGCTGGCCACACTCTTAATGCACCAAACTGATCACACAGAACTTCTTTCTACTCACCATTTACCTTAGATCCTTTTCTTTTGCAAATTGATTTGGATGATTTTTGTTAGCATCTGCTGACCAGTGTCAGGCTGTAAATCTAACAGCTTTCAGTTTGCTTTCCCAACTCTGTTATTCTCTGCTGTTATTTGTCATTAAATTAATACTGACTTGATAGGAAAATTACAACGTAGGAGATTGCAAGATGATATTACAGAAATTCCCATCATCAGATGGGTTCTCCTTAATGGCACAACTTAAAGTTTCTCTACCTTGAAGTCTATCACTGTTGGAAAAGTGTGTATAATTAGTACTTTTATATAATTAGGCACAACTCTAAGTGATCACGTGTAGTTTGTGCATTGAAGTGGGGGAAGGAAGGGACTGTGTCACCAAGTAAGGAAGCACAGCAAATAAATCCTGGAATTCCTAGAGGATATGTGGGTTTTGTAGAGATTGTTGTTAATAATGCATAAGTTATCTGCTGTGATATTGCAACAGCAGCAGGATGGTTGTGCAGGAAACTTCCTGAGCAAACTGTGTGTTGAGGCATCACTTTTCCTGTGGAATGCTTTGCATTGCATTATTTTTATGTAGAAGTAATACAACCACGTTCCTAATTATTGCAGTAGTATAAAATAAATACCAGGCTCTTCTGGCAGTGACAGATCTGATCAAAGCAGGAGGGGATGGCAGAATCCTTGATTTGTCCATGATAAGCAGTGGTGGACCCACCAAATGTGGGAAGGACTAACAAATCCTGCACTGCTTGTACTTCTAGTGTCAGTGACTCTTGAGGTTTTTGGCAGAGCAAATGATGAATAAATCCAGAAGTCAGGTCATTTGTTTGGTCACTGAATAATTGGGCATGTGCTCTTAGATGGGTTTCTGAGCTGAGGATCTGGAAGAGATGAGAATGGCCTCCAAAGGGAAAGTGATGTGTTTGCTGGATGAGGTTTTTTCATAAAACCAGGTAGGCTTGTTGACTGAAAGGAAACAGTTTTGTTCACTGAAGATAGAATCATGGAATCATTTTGGTTGGAAAAGAAATTTAAAGTCATTGAGTCCATCCATTACCCCAGCACTGCCAGGTCCCCACTGCCCCGTGTCCCTCACCCCACATCTCCACAGCTTGGGAACCCCTCCAGGGGTGGGGACTCCACCACTGCCCTGGGCAGCCTGGCACAGCCCTGGGCAACCCTCCAGGGCAAGAAATTGTTCCTCAGGGACAACCTCAACCTCCCCTGGGGCAACTTGAGGTCTCCTCTTGTCCTATTGCTTCTTCTGTGGGAGAAGAGACCAACTCCCACCTAGCCTTCTGTGAGAGAAGAGACCAACCCCCACCTAGCTCCAACCTCTTTTCAGGTAATTAGAGAGGGTGGTAAGATCTCTGCAGGTCCCTCAGCTGCTCCACAAGACTTGTGCTCAGCAGCTTCATTGCCCTTCCCTGGACACACTCCAGCCCCTCTGTGTCCTTCTTGTAGTGAGGGTCCCAAAACTGAACCCAGGATTTGAGGTGCTGCATCCCCAGTGCCAAGTATGGGGGGATGACCCCTGCCCTGCTCCTGCTGGCCACACCAGTGCTGATCCAGGCTAGATGCTGGTGACCTTCTTGGCCACCTGGGCACACGCTGCCTCATCTAGAATCTGTCCAACACCAAGGTTTTTATCATGAATTCCTGCCTCCAAGACAGGCTCTCCTGAAGCACTAATTCCTTTCTGGAAGTCAGATACCCATGTTCAGCTCTGCCTTTAGGAAGCAGTGTGGGCTGAGGGGAGCAGGTCTGCAGCACAGAACTTGTACTGGGGGTGTGCATTTCAGGAGAGTTTGCTCTTCAGTAGCTGTACTTCAGGAGTTGAGAGTTGTAGTGGTCCTCTGAGCCACGTGCCACTAGCAGGTGGAAGTCAGTGGTGCATTTCTGATGCAGAAGGAATTGGGTTCATCCACCCTGAGACCTCTCTGTGGTGTGAACCAAGGCGTGATAAGTGACAGTGATCAGGAGATTGATTACAGGAGTGCCCTTCTGCCCCAAACTGGAACTCCAGTGGAGCTTACACTGCTAGGCTGGTGCTTTGAGTGGAGAAACACTGCAGTGAAGTGCACCACACTAGTCATAGAATCATGGAATGCTTTGTGTTGGACCTCATGAAGTTCACACAAGCCCATGTCTTGAGCTTGTCCATCCCTTGACATCCCATCCCTTGGGTGCATCAACTGCACCACTCAGCTCGGTGTCATAGAATGTCTGGGCTTGAAGCACCGCCAAAGGTCATCTAGTCCAACCCCCCTGCTATAATCAGGGACATCTCCAACTAGATCAAGCTACTCAGAGCTTCATCCAGCCTGATCTTGAATGTCCCCAGGGATGGGGCCTCCGCCCCCTGTCTGAGCAGTGTGTTCCGGTGATCTATCACCCACATATTAAAGAACTTTTTCTTAATGTCTAACCTAAATCTGCCCTTTTCTGGCTTAAAGCCATTCCCCCTCGTCCTGTCACTCCAAACCCTTGTGAACAGACCCTCCCCTGCTTTCCTGTAGCCCCTCTCAGGCACTGGGAACTGCAGCCTTGCTCAGGATGCCCTTGGTCCCACTGTCCATGTGGATGGTACAAGCCCCTGAGGGACACCACTCGTTGCTGCTCTGCATCAGGACATCAACCCACTGACCACCACCCTCTGGCTGCAGCCATCCAACCAGTTCCTCATTGACCAGCTGAGGCCAAGTATCCCACAGGGTTACATCTCTGTAAGTTGTGAGACTTGGTGGTGCATGCAGGTGATTTAACAGCTGAGAAATGGGGATGCAGCAAAGAATCTGCATTGAGCCCTGAGTCCTTGGCTGCTGCTGAAGCTGAAATCCCAGAGAGTCAGCCAGTAGTGATGTGTATTCTAATACAACAGTGCTGCTGGAAAATTGTAACCCAAGTGTAATCAGAAAAACATCAAATGAGGGCCAGGGCTTGGTGCAGGTACCACAAATGAGCTGTTCCATTGGTTTTGCCTGAAGCTGAAGTTTTTTTAATACAGTTGAACCTGAGGTTACTCAATTTTTCAAGACAGTTGCTAGGCTGGATTGGATTTTCAAATGAATTATCTAGGCAATAATCCAAAGGTGGGAAGAAGTTTGGGATCTATTTTTTTCTGAATAAGAGGTCAGTGCTTGTTTTGTCAAGCACTAATGCTGAGTTTTCAGGCTCCAAGAATATACTGAGTCCTTCCCCACCCTGCTTGGGTTGTATTAAAGCAGCATCTCCAAACTGCCAGCATCTGCCTCCTCATGTAGGCCAGCAGTGCCAGTGAACATCATTATGGGCAACACTGCTCTCTGCCTTTCTTACAAAAGCAGATA